TCCAGTCACCAGTGAGCTCTCTGGGCTGTAAGGGGTCCTGGACACTGTTGGGAGGACAGAGACCCAGGCACAGCTGACGAAAACTGCTCCCATGCACTGAGAGCAATGTTTGAGTCACTGCACATGCGTTAACTTATTTATTCTTCACAACCAAATGATATAAACACATACAGCTATTTGGTATTAGAAAAGACAACAAAAAGTCAATAGAAGGACCCTACAAAATCATGTCCCAGTTTTAGTGAAATTGTCAAAGAGGAATTGATTCAAATTTGAACTTGAAAAACTTCAATTATTAAAATAATTTTATTTAAGTTATATTTTAATTAAGCATAGAATATAATGACAACTATGCACCAACTCTTGGAAGGAACAAGTGTTGGGAGTGTAAGGAAGTTGGCATTATTTTATTCCTAAAAACTTATACCAAGTACCATCAAACCCTTCATTTAAAATTTCACATTCACACACAATCATTAAAAGGTAATTTTGAGGGAGGAGCTTCAAGATGGAAGAAGAGTAGGACGTGGAGATCACCTTCCTCCCCACAAATACATCTACATGTGGAACAACCCCTACAGAACACCTACTGAATGCTGGCAGAAGACCCCAGACCTCCCAAAAGGCAAGTAACTCCCCCACGTACCTGGGTAGGGCAATAGAAAAAAGAAAAAACAGAGACAAAATAGGGACGGGACCTGCACCAGTGGGAGGGAGCCGTGAAGGGGGAAAGGTTTCCACACACTAGAAGCCCCTTCGCAGGCGGAGACTGCGCGTGGTGGAGTAGGGGGAGCTTCGGAGCCACGGAGGAGAGCGCAGCAACAGGGGTGCGGAGGGCAAAGCGGAGAGATTCCCGCACAGAGGATCAGGGCCGACCAGCACTCACCAGCCCGAGAGGCTTGTCTGCTTACCCGCCAGGGCGAGTGTGGGCTGGGAGGCTCCGGAGGTCAGATCCCAGGGAGAGGACTGGGGTTGGCTGCGTGAACACAGCCTGAAGGGGGCTAGTGCGCCACAGCTAGACCGGAGTGTGTCCAGGAAAAGGTCTGGAGCTGCCAAAGAGGCAAGAGACTTTCTTGCCTCTTTGTTTCACAGTGCACGAGGAGAGGGGATTAAGAGCACCACCTAAACGAGCTCCAGAGACAGGCGCGAGCCTCAGCTATCAGCGCGGCCCCCACAGACTGGCGTGAGACGCTAAGGCTGCTGCTACAGTCACCAAGAAGCCTGTGTGCGAGCACAGGTCACTATCCACACTTTCCTTCCCGGGAGCCTGTGTAGCCCGCCACTGCCAGGGTCCGGGGATCCAGGGACAGCTTCCCCGGGAAAACACACAGGCATGCCTCAGGCTGTTGCAACATCACGCAGACTCGCCCCGCATTCCATTCCCCTCCCTCCCCACCCGCCCCCAGCCCCCCGCCGGCCTGAGGGAGCCAGAGCCCACTAATCAGCTGGTCCTTTAACCCCGTCCTGTCTGAGCGAAGAACAGATGCCCTCAGGCAACCTACATGCAGAGGCGGGGCCAAACCCAAAGCTGAACCCCCGGAGCTGTGCAAACAAAGAATAGAAAGGGAAATCTCTCCCAGCAGCCTCAGGAGCAGCGGATTAAATCTCCACAATCAACTTGAAGTACCCTGCATCTGTGGAATACATGAATAGACAACGAATCATCCCAAATTGAGGAGGTTGACTTTGGGAGCAATTATATATGTATATATTTCTTTCCTTTTTCTCTTTTTTCTGAGCCGAGTGGATGACAGGCTCTTCGTGCTCCGGCCGGGCGTCAGGCCAGTGCCTCTGAGGTGGGTGAGCCGAGTTTAGGACATTGGTCCACCAGAGACCTCCCCGCTCCATGTAATATCACACAGCAATAATCTCCCAGAGAGGTCCATCTCACCACCAAGACCGAGCTCCTCCTAATGATTAGAAAGCTACAGTGCTGGACACCCTATGTCAAACAACTAGCAAGAAAGGAACACAACCCTCCCCCCCCAATTAGCAGAAAATCATAATAAGTTCACAGAAACCCCAAAACACAGCACCGGACGTGGTCCGGCCCACCAGAAAGACAAGATTCAGCCTCAGCCCCCAGAATACAAGTGCCAGTCCCCTCCACCAGGAAGCCTACACAACCCACTGAACCAACCTAAGCCGCTGGGGGCAGACACCAAAAAACAGGGGAACTATGAACCTGCATAAAATAGAACTACCATACCACACAGGAATCCCACTACTGGGCATATACCCTGAGAAAACATAATTCAAAAAGAGTCATGTACCACAATGTTCATTGCAGCTCTATTTACAATAGCCAGGACATGGAAACAACCTAAGTGTCCATTGACAGGTGAATGGATAAAGACAACGTGGCATATATATACAATGGACTATTAGTCAGTCATAAAAATAAATGAAATTGAGCTATTTGTAGTGAGGTGGATCGATCTAGAGTCTGTCATACAGAGTGAAGTAAGTCAGAAAGAGAAAAACAAATACAGTATGCTGATACATATATATGGAATCTAAAAAATAAAAATTAAAAAGGTCATGAAGAACCTAGGGGCAGGACAGGAATAAAGATGCAGACCTACTAGAGAATGGGCTTGAGGACATGGGGAGGGGGAAGGGTAAGCTGGGACAAAGTGAGAGAGTGGCATGGACATATATACACTACCAAATGGAAAACTGATAGCTAGTGGGAAGCAGCTAGCATAGCACAGGGAGATCAGCTAGGTGATTTGTGACCACCTAGAGGGGTGGGATAGGGAGGGTGTGAGGGTGGGAGATGCAAGAGGGAAGAGATATGGGGATATATGTACATGTATAGCTGATTCATTTTGTTATAAAGCAGAAACTAACACACCATTGTAAAGCAATTATACTCCAATAAAGATGTTAAAAGTAAATAAAATTTTTTAAAAAATAAATTTAAAATGTAATTTTGAAAAATTATTTGAAATTATTTAACTGTTCTATCAATTTTAAGGGGCCTCTCTTCATCAAAATGTTATCTTTTGAAGTGCCCGCAGGATCATTATGATCATAGATTTTTTTTCTTTCTTGTTTCATCTCTAAATGTGGGAAGATTCACTTGGGATCCCAGCAGTTCTGAAATATCATTTACATCAATTACTTGAAATACACTTTGCCAAGCTTCTGATTTCACTTAGCAATGGATGTGGATTCTAATTGTACAATGTGGTCTGATGTTTGCCACATTTCAATCAAGGAAAGACCCACCCCCTAGAGCAGAGGGTTTCTGGGCACCACACCACCTCCTGCAGCCACCTGATCTCAGGGCAGCAGTGCTGGGTGGTGCCACCTTCTATCTCAGATTCCTGAAGCTCTTCCGCAATGCTCTGCCTCAGGAGTTCTCCACAATCATGAAATACCATGCAGCCCATGCAGGCACATCCCAGCCTCCCTCCTCCATGGACAATCCTGAGGAAGAGTCTACAGAGTTCCTCAGAGGGTCCCCAGTGGCACTGAGCCTCAGTCACCCACAGGGGCACCCAGGTCAATAATACCCATTCTGGGGTGTCCCTTTTTCCCTGTCTCACTAGCTCCATCTCTTACCCCAGCCTCACTGAATCATCTCACAACCACCTGCACCCAAGACCTAGTTTCAGGCTGTGCCTCCAGGGAAGCACAAAGAAAGGCACCCAGAAAATTATTTCCATGATGGGAAACCCAACCTGAGATTCAGGAAGTGTTGAGCAGGGAGGGTTTAATGAGGGAGCTAATTTATAAATAATCAATTTGTTTGTTAATATTTTTATTATCTATGACTTTTGCTTCTCCAAACAATTGTCCTAACTCCAGGGAATTATATAATAATACTCCCTGCATTATCATTTTCCTATTTTACACTCAAAGATACTGAGACTCAGAGAACTTAAACAACAAGCAGGAGGTCCCACAGCTGGTGAATAGCAGTCAGAGACTGAATTCATGTCAAAAGGTCTCTCACTCACCAGTTTCACATCCTCGGGCAGACTTCACTTCTTACAACCTCAGTTTCCTTCTATAAACCATGAATGCGATAAGCAGTACAGGGCAGTTGTACACATTAAATAAGCCAATCCATACAAATGTGTATATTGACAGCGTGCTGTGCTCCTTTGAGTCATTAGTATCAATATTTTATCCATGTAAAATGATGTGTTTCCCTCCACAATAATAGCAAAAAAATGAGGAAAATATTTTGTAAACTTTAAAGTCCTATAAATATTTAAGGAATTAATTTTACTGCTGTGCAGCCTTGGACAACTCACTTGCCTTCTCTGGGCTTTAGAGTTGTAAACAATGAGATGATCACTAAGATTCCTACTAGGTATACTATGAAGGGCTTTCATATAATGTGATTTGCAGACCAGTCAAGTATTGATCTAGGCCAAGAAAATCAAAATCAATCAAAAAAAGCTGATGGAGGGCCTCCCTGGTGGCGCAGTGGTTGGGAGTCCGCCTGCTGGTGCGGGGGATACGGGTTCGTGCCCCGGTCCGGGAGGATCCCGCGTGCCGCGGAGCGGCTGGGCCCGTGGGCCATGGGCGCTGAGCTTGCGCATCCGGCAACGGGAAAGGCCACGACAGTGGGAGGCCCACATATCGCAAAAAAAAAAAAAAAAAAAAAAGCTGATGGAAAATTAGGCCCTTACCCAGATATGAGTAAAGATAAAAAAAATCATCATTGCATCTAAAATTTAGACGTTCACAAAGGGCTTTAAATCCTCTTCATATAAAAAAATTATAATAATAAAATTAAATTCCCAGAAGATATTTTTTCTCCATTTTACAGCTGAAGAAACTGAGTCCTGAGAAGTGATGTGAATAGTAATAATAAAGACAAATAACAATTGTCACTTCTCTGTGGTTAATGAGCAAGAGATGTGTTAATTACTTTACCAGTATCATTTCACTGAATTCTTGCCACAACAAAGTGAGGGATACCCCATTTATTAGTCGAGGAAACTACGGCTCAGAAACTTCAAGCCCAACTCTGCACTAACCTGTCTGGACAAAGAGAATGTCCTTATCACGGAGGTACTGCTCTAGCTGGATGGTTTTCTGGGAAACCAGTGTGGACCTGTGCTTGACTTGGCAGAGGACAAGGAAGTACACGTTGTCAGCCTGCAGAGAGATGAGCACACTTCTGGTCACATTGTAGGTGTCTCCACTAAGGTAGACGCTGGTCCGGGGCTTTAATAGCTGGTGGGTGTTGGTTTATTTTTTTGCGGTACGCGGGCCTCTCACTGTTGTGGCCTCTCCCATTGCGGAGCATAGGCTCCAGATGCGCAGGCTCAGCGGCCATGGCTCACGGGCCTAGCCGCCCCGCAGCATGTGGGATCTTCCCGGACCGGGGCATGAACCCGCGTCCCCTGCATCGGCAGGCGGACTCTCAACCACTGCGCCACCAGGGAAGCCCTGGTGGGTGTTTTTAATGCAGGTCACAGTAACCTGACATGTGCGGAATCCAGAGGACATGAAGGTCAGTTGGATGCTTCTGACTGGCTCAGATCACTGAAAGGGGCCTTGTAGGGCATAAGAGTGCTCCTGCCTGTAGGAGAGACCCCACCTGTGAGAGGATGCAGAGGAGCCCAAACTCAGTGAGAACAAATCCTCAGCATCACCGTGGAGAAGCCCCATCGCCTCCCATTCCATAGGCTTTAAAGTTTACATTCTGATAGTTCAGTTATGAAGCTGATATCAGAGGCCAGACAAGAAGCTACAGGGACCACAGCAGTTTGTAAGGAGTCCAACTTGCAACCACACCTCACAGCCAACACCCACATCCCACAGCCCTGCTTACAGACTCTGAGTTCTCACTGCAGCCCTAGGAGGAGGGAGCTACTCCTATCCCCATTTCACAGACGAAGACACTAAGGCCCAGAGCCTAAGTACCTTGTCCAAGATCCACAGCTGGTCAGTAGAGCCAGGGTTCTTAGCCAGGAAGTAAGGACCCAGGGTCTGTGCTCAGTGACCAGGCTCAGCTCTGTCCTCAGTCCCTGGACAGGGAAGGGTGTCTCACTGCTCCCAGAACAGCACAGAGACAGGGTAGGACCACAGGCTTTGGGGTCACACTCAGCCCAAGTTTGCATTCCCAGCCACTCTACTGCATAAGCCTGGACAACTCAACTCTCTAAGCCTCAGTTTCCTCATCTGTAAAATGGGGATGATTCTTAATTCTCAGAGTTAATTAATAAATTACATACAGTAACTAGTAAAGAATATAAGACACATGGTGATCACTCTATAAATGATAACTATCGTCATCCAATACTCACAACCACCACCTAAAGAATTGTTATTAATCATATTTCTAATGTTAGAGGGGGAAAGGCTGAGAGGGTTAGTACCTCACCCAAGTTCCTCACAGCAAACAGAACTCACATTCCAACCCCAGACCAAGTTAAGGGCTCTTTCTGTTACATCACAGCTGCCTCTATTTCTCCATAGCTTCCTCATAATAATCAGTGAACTTCAATCATTTCCTACTTTCAACCCAGCATGGTCTAGGCAACATGAAGACTGCCATCAGTCATTACAGAGCACCCACTGTGCGTTCCAATGTCTGAATGCCAAGCAAGGGTCAAGGGAAGGAGTCCCAGCTGGTCCCCACCTGGTGGGCATAACAGTCCTCATTGCTCAGAGGAGGTAACAGCTCAGAAACAGCAGTGCTTTGCCTGAGGTCCCAGACGGCCCATGGCAGCTCTGCCAGGTGACACTGATCCATTTGACTCCAAAGTCTGGCCACGACTGAACTTAAGAGCCAGTATCTGCTTCAGGTCTGTGAGGGTCTCAGCACGGAGGAGACGCATAAATGGACAAAACCCCCTGTAGGGACTTGCAAGAGGCCCCATAGTTTCAGAGCCAATGGTGAGAATTGAATGACGTGGGCAGACATGACAATTCAGGAAGAAATAAATATGAATACAGAGCATTTAAGAGGGGCATTTGCAAAAGACTTGCGATAACACTAAGATTTGTATTCTTAGACAGGATGGAGGAAAAAATACAGAAAACACATCGAATTGTGAACAGACAGCCCTGTCTTCTAAACCAAGCTCTGCTATTTGAGACCCCTGAGACCTGGTCCCTCTGCTGCCTATCCTGGCTGTCAAACATCAGACAACATATGTGAGGATGCCTGTCACACAGTAAGTGCTCTACAGGTGTCAGCAAACATGACCAGAAGCACAGAGGTGGGAGTGTGTAAGGGATGAGAGCTGAAGAAGGGCTTTAGGGGTCAGGCTGAGAAGGTGTTGCTGCAAAGACACATTAACAACAAACAGAAGGGGGCCTGATGTCAGAAAAAGAAGTTTCCCCGCTGCAGATCACAAGGCACGTCAAACAGCCACACAGGGGAGTGGTAGAATCAAATTGATGCTCTCACGGGGCTAACCTTGCAGCAGTGGGACAGATACATGCATGCAGGCGAAGGAGAAAAATAAGACAGAGAGAAAAAACTCAGCATGAGTCAATAAAGAAATAGTGTAACTTGCTTCGGATCAGAAAGGACCAGTCTGTAATTTTTCACACAGATCTATATATCCCGCTGGGTGGATGTTTTTCTTATTTCTTCTAGACACGAAAAAATAAAAGGCACTGAGAAGTTGAAAGGTAGTGGGTTCATTGCCCCGGAGAATTCTTAGAGCAGGCAGAAAAGGCCAGTTCTTTCAGGGGGGAATAGAATGCAGGGTCAATGCTCCTGTTGTGAAGATGTGTGGTTTTGCAGCCCAGCATCCTGTCTACCCTTTTGCTGGTGGTGGCTTGGGCTGTAAAACATGCTGCAGGCCCAGAAGCTCACGCTGCCTGTAGGGAGCTGTCCTGTGGTTCTGGAGAGCTGTGAGTCCACACTCTAGCTCACCCTTGGCTGGTCCAGGTCTGGTCAATTCTAATACTCCTATCTCTCCACCTCCCCTCCCCAATTCATCCCCTCTGGCCCAGTCATTCACTCTCCCAAGCTGATTCCAGCTGGACCAAGGAAAGATCCGTCCTCAAGGTCTGAACTGCTGGTGGGCAGCTCTCCCTAGTGGAGAATGTCATCTAGGACACAAAAGGTAGATAGGAGGAGATAGAATCTGATTTGGATAGGGTGGGGGTGAGAAAGAGAAGAAGCAGAAGGAAAATGAGGGACAGAGGAGGGAAGAAGAGAGAAAAAAGAGACTGAGAAAGAAATGAGAGAGAGCGAACTCAGTAGTAGAGAGAATGAGAATCCTGCACCTGCACCCTCCCTGCTTCCCAGGCAATCTTGTCAAGAATTCTGGCCTCTCTTTAAAATTGAACTCCAGAAACTTTCAGCTGAACCAGTCTTGATTAGAGCTTTCCTGGAAGGGATTTTGGTGCCCATCTCTCCTTAATCTTTGCCTTTTCCTGCAGTCAAGAGAGCTTTCAACCTGAAGGGTTCATGGCATTGGGGAAGTCCTACTCCTTCTTGAGGAGGATACAGGGGAGGCGGGAATGGAACTTGGGGATGAGGGCTTGAGACTTTTATCACAACCCCAAGGCATCCTCCCTTCCTTCACCTTCATCCCTTGCTGCCCTGAGTCCCCGACCTACTGCTGTCTGCACCCTGGGCAGATGGCAGGTGTTTCCAGCCTGGCTGCCCAGAGGGGCTGGGCAAGAAGCTGCACCCACCTTTTCCCACCCTGGGCCCACAGGGTGGTGTTGGCTTGGACTGGGGGCTGTTCATCCTGGACCACCCAGCAGGCAAACTTGCTGCTGTCCAGCATGGTCTCTGCCTGCCAGGTATGCTCCAGAGTGTAGGTCCCGTCTGGACTTCTGATACCCTGAGGGCACTTCATGGTCTGTGTCGTGCGTGGGTACTCCATCCAGGTGAGGTGCAGCTGGGATGGATAGAGGTGGCTCACATGGCACAGGAGATTCTCTCTCTAACGCACATGGATTTGCATTCCAGAGGGCTTTGTGGCGATCTTCAGGGTGGGGACCACTGGACAGAGAAACAGAAAGGAACATCTGTTGAAATTACCCCTATCTGCCTGCCCTCTATGTCTTTTTCTCCCAGGAACCAACCCTAGAGCTTTCATTCTTAAATCAGTTACCTTTTTTGAAAAAGAAATAAATTTTTCTTGTATGCTCAGTGTAAGGCAAAGAGAGCTAAGTGTTAGCATTCATTAAATATGGGTAGGGGTACATGGTGTCTACTATGTTATTTCCTGTGCATTTGAAATATTTCATATCATGAAATATTATTTTAAGAATTATAAACTATAATTTCCATGAGAACAAGGACTTATTTTTATTCATTTCTATATCCCTAGCACCTAGAACAGTGCCTGACACACAGTAGATATTGTGGATGAATGGATGAATTAATTCATTTGTGTTGAATAAATAATACATATTTAAAATTAAAAATAGTAATGATATTAATAAAACAAAGATGTTTGGAATGGACGCTTAGTCCAGATAATAATAATAAAATCAAATATACACAAACAACTTACTGTCAGGCAGTGTTCTATGTGCTTTACAAGAAATAGCTCATTTAATACTCACATGAAACCTACAAGGTAGGTGATCATTTTATTCTCATTCTAAAGGGAAATTGAGGCACAAAGAGGTTAACTTACCGAAGATCACGTTGATTGTGAAGTGGTACAGTCGGGACTAAACCCACATGGGGGCCTCTGGAACCTGTATCTTTAACAACTCTACAGCGGGATCAGCCACGGCAAGGCGGAATTCCCATTTCCCACTGGAAGTCCAAGGGGGCTTCGGGCAAAAGACTCCGAAAGTCAATCCAGGAAAGCGATGCCCCCACCCAGCCTTCTGCCTCCGCAGCTTGGAGCATTCAGAGAGGTTCGTGCTCTTCCGCAGAGCTCTGCCAGGACCCCGTGCGTGACTTCGCAGGTCATCTCCGACAAGACATCTTGGCGGCACAGTGTCTCCACACCTTACTGGTGACGGAGTAATTGCCTTTGTCGCCGGTCACCAGGTGCTGAGCTGAGGCTGGATGGTCATCTCTGTCCATCATCCAGGTGACATTGAAGTCTGAGAAGCCGAAGGAGTCAGTGGTGCAATTGAAAGGCACCGGATTCCCAGGGGTTGTCCTGTGAGCCGGGCCCGCCAGAGAGATGAAGGGCTGCCCGTCTAGGAAAGAGATGGCTGTGACTGCACGCTGAGAGCCCGCCGCGTCCCACAGCAGCAGCCAGAAAGAGGCGCTGCGGTGTGTGCAGCCCTGGGGACTTACTATGTGCCCTGTCTGGCTGCAGCCTCGGGGAGCATATAAACAGATGCTAACAAGTAAACAAGCAAATACAGAACTACAACTGGGCCTCAGTGACCTCAGGGAAACTCAAAGAGTGCAGGCATTGGAAGTGCCTGGAGGACTTATTCTGGAAAGGCAGTATGAGAAGGATGCCTGGAGGAGGTGACATCTTGAGCTGAAACTGAGGAACAGATAGGAGCCAGACATGGGCCAGGGCAGGGGAATAACATTCTAGAAAGCGGGAACAGCAGGTGAGAAGCACCTCGGGCTGGCAGAGCTTGGTTGGCTTGAGAAACTGAGATGTCTGTAGGACCTCCGCATCATGGGCGGAGAGGTCCACATGGGGAAGAGCCTGTGGGACATGGGAATGCTCTTAATTCCTTTCTGAGTGTGATGGGAAGCCATCAGAGATTCTAAACAGAGGTGCAAGCTGGTCTCACTGGCATGTTTTAGAAGATAATTGGGGCTGCTGTGTGGAGAATGGAAAGGAGGGTGGCAACCTGGGGGAAGAGAAGCCAACGAGGAGGCAGCAGAGAGCTCCAGGTGTGAGGTGATGGTGCCTGGACCAGGGTGGTGAGAAAGGGAGGGACCCATTTGAGGTACATTTGGAAGATACAGCCAGCAAGACTTGTGATGGACTGGAGGGGAGCCAAGGCACAGAATGAACTATGGATAAATGATTCCCAGGTTTTCCTCTTGAGCATTTGGGTGAATGGTGGTTCCAGGTTTTGAGATGGGGCTAAATGGATCAGGTTGGGATGGGTGAGGTTTGGTGAGGAATCAAGATTTCCATTTTGGACATAAGTGAGAAGCCAAGAATCTGTGGGCAGGCATGGCTGGCCCTCCTCCTCAGGGCCTTCCCGTTATCACCCCATTGGGCCTCCATCCTCTGCTTGTTCACTTCCAGTGACAGGGGGCTCGCTGCACTGGAGGCAGCTTCATCCATCCCCACAAGCTAGGGTGAGGCCAGAGTACTTCTTCTCCTAACCTAGGATCTATCTCCTAGAGTCATCCTGACAACTACAGGACTAGACTCTTCCCTCCCCATCAGGACAGACCACAGAGATCTGAGAGCAGGGGCCTCGCCAAGTCTTCACTACATTCGCTGAGCCCCTTCTCTGTGCCAGTGTCTGAACTGGGTGCTGAGGACACAGAGGTGTATCAGAGAGGACCCGTGCTGGGGGGGTGGGGAAATAAACCAGCAGCAACAGCACAGAGTGACAGATGATAGAGCGCAGTTCAGGAAGCCGTGGGAGCCTGTCCCCTTAGCACACAGCTCTGCATCATGCTCTCCTCTGAGTAAATCCTAGGGGTAATCATATCCCCTCCTGCACACCACACCCTGTGGATCATAAAACACTCTCAGATCAATGACAGAAGAGGAAATAAAATATTCACAAATACATAGAAATCAAACAACCTTCTCTTAAAAAATCAGTAGGTCAGGGCTTCCCTGGTGGCGCAGTGGTTGAGAGTCTGCCTGCCGATGCAGGGGACACGGGTTCGTGCCCCGGTCTCGGAAGATCCCACATGCCGCGGAGCGGCTGGGCCCGTGAGCCATGGCCGCTGAGCCTGCATGTCCGGAGCCTGTG